ATGGTGTGGACGGAGAGCGGGGGGAAGAGCAGGGCACGGGCACCGCTGGTCCTCCATGGAGAGAGCTCGCGGCGCCACGGGCGGCTTCTCCTCGAAGGGCTGGTCAGAGCGCACCCCCAGATGGGTCCGCGAAGCAGCGGTCTATATGTACGTGTGTATATGTATATGTATAGGTGTGTATATATAGGTGTGTATAGATGTGTATATGTATGTATACACATCTATGGGCATATGTTCGACCACCTTCGGGGTCATCAGGGGGGTCGGGGGGAACCGACATCTCGCTCAATCGAAATCACGATCCATCTCACGATCGATCTCATTCGATCGATGCCACTCGATCAATATCACCATCGATCTCACAATCAATCCCATATCGATCTTTGCAATCGATCTTACTATTGATATCGCGATCGATCTTACAATCGATCTCCTATCGATTCCACTATCGATCTCACCATCTGTCTCACGATCGAGCTCACCATCGATTTCACGATCGAACTCACTAATTATCGTTCCGACTATCGATATCACGATCGATCTCACTACGCGACACCGTCAGGACACCGTCGGAACACCGACGGGACACCGACGGGACACCGACAGGACACTGACGGGACACCAGCAGCACACCGACGGACACCCCTGGCGCTCGCCAGACAACCCAGCGAGGGCGGTCTCTTCGTCCGGTGGCGCCCTAGCAAGTGAGGGGTCATCTCTCTCGCCCGCCCACGCAGTTTCAGCCCGCACGCACGACGCGCGCACGAAACCGAAGCCGATTTCCTGGTGGGGGTCTGTCCGTTTGACTGCGATCTCACCCCCCCGCCTCCGATGCTTCTGCTTCCCCAAGGAGAACGTGCGGCCGGGCGTTTGCGCCGCGGGCTACGCGGTGCTGAAGCGGCCCTGGCCGCTGTCGGCGGAGCCGCGGTGGCGCCCAGAGGACCCCCGCGCGGTGCGCAGGAGTCCGGTGGAACCCAAAGGTGGTCCAGCTACAATGGGGTGCTGCAATAGATCTGGTGCAATAGGTCTGTTGGTTGCAATAGATTCAGGGGCGTGCAAGACGTGCCGGGGCGCAGAAGTATAGCTGGATTTTCGCGTGCAGTAGCAAAGTTGCAATACACCGCAATCCAATCCTCGGCTCAGTACACTTGCAAAACAATTGGCCCAAAGCTATCTCACCACCCCTTTTCAGCTGGACCCCCTTTTGGATCAACCAAAGGAGGGTCTGGGAGCTCTCCGAGGCGATGCTGCGCGCGGCCTCCGCCCGGGCCGCGGAGTTCGACTTCTCCGCGATCGCGGTCTCCAAGATGGTATGGCGTCGCGACTGCGCACAGACAGCCCCCCCCCCTTACAGGTAATTACATCCCTGTGAAAAAAGTTTAGAACAAAAGTGGCACAGATGGAAGCCAAAACGGTGTTGAATCAGACCAGGCGGTGCCCGTCGCATGAAGCGACATCTGCCTGACAATGTTACGGAAGAGCGTCTCGTCTGCATTGCGCGGTGCACGTTAGCCATCCGACAGTGGGAACGCAGTCGCACGGCAGAACGTGGAACCGCCCACGCCAGCGGCTCTGTGAAGGATGAACTTGGAAGAGCACCCTGGCATTAAGTGGCATCCGCCTCCCAATGTCGCCACCCGTCGCGCAAGCCAAAACATGGCATATTTATAACCTGGCCCATGGCGCATGCCTGCGCACGCTGCCAACATTGAAAGGCGAATGTCACTTAATGATACTCTTTGGGCTTTGCCGTCTGCAGATCATTCAAAACGATCGTCTTGCCGACTTCTGTTATAATTGTTCCCGGCTGTGTAGTCGTAAGTAAGTCGGGCCCGCTCCTCTACAGGAGGAATATTCGAACACAGTAAAAATAGTTCGGGGACCAGTTTTCTCACATGTTTCGTACCTTTTGAATATTTTTTGTTTCTTCCATAACCGACCGACCTCAGGACAAGCCCGACCTGACCCCAGTGGGCCCTTGAAACGACAGGGCCGTTTTTGTTGCCGGTTCCGTTTTGCCGTTTTTCTGCCGGTTCTGACGCCGTTTTTTACCGCGTTGCCGTTTTTTGACCCGTTCCGGCTCCGGGTCCAATCCTGGAACCGTTTTTAGCCGTTTCCGGACGTTTTTTTTTGCCGTTTCCACTGTCAAGGGACAGTTTGTCGGAAGCGATGAAAAAACGGCCTTGCCGCTTCCGGGGCCCAGAAAGGACCTGACGCTAGTCCTGGCTGGCTTCGCCTGGCCCCCCGACTACGGTAGGCTCGCGTAGTGCCGACCTTGGCGACGGCCCCGTCGCCGGCGTTCCAGGTGGAACGCCGTGGGCGACCCAGAACCGGCGACATTGAAAGATCTGACGCCTCGGAAACGGTCGATCGTTCAAGGTGTAAGTCGGGCCTGTCCCTGTTCAGGAGGATATGCAAACATGGTAAAACAAATAATCCAGGAACGAATGCTCGAACATTCTTTTTCGATGTTTGAATATCATAGACATTTTTTTGGGTGTCTAAAATCCGCCTGTAGGAGGATATGCCAAACCTAATTCAAGATTGAGCGATCCCCGCGGTGTCAGAAACCAACGCCGAAGTCGGCACGACACGAGCAAACCGTAGTGCCAGAAGGCCTCAGCAGGCCCCCCCGAGCTGTCTGGGGCGGTCTCGACATCCCAGCGCCGCGTCCGCGCCCCAGGGCTGAGGTGTTGAGACCGCCGTGGGCTGATTACTGGGCGGCTGGTTGAGGCCAGCTGGGACTACCCGGGGGGCCTGTTGAGGCCAGCCGAGACTCCCAGGGGTCGTCTGCGCGCAACCCGAAGCCTTACCACTCCAAGAATTTCCACGGGAGCCCGCACGTGGACAAGAACGACCTCTCGGTGCAGTACGCTGTGTCACTGGGGGATTTCGCGGACGGGAGCGGGAGGCTCTGCGTGGAGGAGGGGCCGTTCTTAGTCCGGGCCTTCGACACCAAGGAGAAGTTGGTGTGCATCGACGGGAGGTTCCCACATTGGGTTTCTGGCTACACTGGGGAGCGCTACTCCATAATATATCCTTGAGGTTCATGCCGTTCCCGCGACCGAAAGGGGCAGAAGACGAGTTCGCCCACTCTCGACGTGGATTTTCTGGAGGAGCGAGCTAGAAGGAAACCAGCGAGGCGCTCAGATGTGCTCTACTAGGAGGAGGAGGAGGAGGAGGAGGAGGAGGAGGAGGAGGAGGAGGAGGAGGAGGAGGAAGGAGGAGGAGGCGGAGGAGGAGGAGGAGGAGGAGGAGAAGGAGGAGGAGGAGGAGAAGGAGGAGGAGGAGGGGGAGGACTGCTCCCTCCTCTCGTCCGACCCGAGAGTGGGGGGACCGGCGGGCTACAGGAGCGCTGGCTCGTACGATCCCCCCGTGCGCGCGGTGCACGAGGTCTAGGGCCTGCGCCAGGGCGCGGGGCGCTCCCCGGGGGCGCCACGATCGAGGCGGTGCGGAGCCCACGCGTCGGGCCCTGCCAAGGGCGCGCCGACTGCACGCAGGTCAGAGGAGGAACAGGTACCCATGCCTCTACCCTCTCCTCGTTTTCTTCCTTTTTTGGGCCTCCTCGCAGGCCCTCGTCGCCTCCGCTGGATTCGCGTCGAAAGCCTGGTCAGAACGCACCCCGGGAGAGGTCTGGGGAGTAGCGGTAGGGGTACCTTTCTGTCTCCCCAGTAGAAGAGAGGCCCTTCGCCAGAGCGTGACGTCTGGTGCGGGCCCGCGGGGGGGTCCCTCGAGCGCGGAAGGCGATGCGACAGCCGCGGCCTGAGCGCGTGGGTTTATGTCGGGCGTGTCCCCCTGCAGGGGGATTTTCGACGGAAAAAAGTACCCCAAAAATACCCCCAAAAGGTAAAAAAAACAAAACCAAAACAATAGTCCCCAGACTTTTTTATTTTCATTATTTATTCTAAGTTTGGGGTATTTTATTTTTCGTCGAAAATCTCTCTGTAGGGGGACACGCCCGACTTAAGCGTGGGTTTTTTTGGCCCCCCACCCACCCACCCCCGCACCGCCCAAGACCGCGCAAGAAGGGTCACTCTTGCCCAGTGGAGCTCTTGCGCGTAGCTGGGCGTGCTGCTGCGGCAGCAGTGTTTCGTGGCGTGTCGATGCGTCGGAGGCCATGCAGGAGATCATACGGGACGCCATGCACGAGACCATACGGGATCCGCGGGCCACAGGCCATCGATGCCGGATTTGGATGAGCCCACACGTGTTTCAGAGTAGACACGTAGGCCCTTTGCAAAACACTGCTTTGCGACAAATCAACTTAAGAATTGTCTCTCCTCATCATCCTCCGCCTCCTCGCTCACCCCCCTCCCCGTCATTCCCCTCGGCCTTTCTCCTCGCCCTCCATCATGCCTCCTGCCTGCTCTTTCTCCTCACTTCCCCCTCAGCCTATCCTGCAGGCCCCGATCCCCAGTCCCCATTGATCCCCAGACGTTCCCAGAGATTCCTAGAGGTATTCGGAGATGCCCGAGATGGCCAACACAAACCCAAGACCTCAGCACCGTTCTTTGTTCTGCCCATCGGCAGGGGGCATGAGCGACAAGGAAGAGGGCGGGGAGGAGCAGCAGGAGGAGGATGAGGAGGAGAAATGAGGAGGAATTGCGGAGTAGGGATGAGGAACGGGAGGAGGAGAAGGAAGGGGGGACCAGAGCAAATCCACTATGCTTTAACGACGCTGCAGCACGCCGTTCCGTCCGAAGTCCCCTCGTCGTGAATGCCCACGGGCCTTCCCGCTCCGAGAGAGGAGCGCCCCCCCCCCCATCGATGAAAGACTGGCACCCGACGGGCCTGCCGTGAAGGCGAGGGCCCCCTCTCGAAGAGGAGCTGCGCCGCACCCTCGCGCCCCCCCATCGGAGACTGAAGGATGCGAGAAGCTGTGTGTTTTTACCTAACAGCGTAGACTGATAGGTTTCTAGTGGTCTCAAAAGAGCTCACAGATCACTCCACAGGGGGGTCTGGGCGGGTGCCGGACAGGGTGCCGCAGAATTCATTATAAGCCAACAGTCACACACTTCGTGCTCTTCGACTTCCCAGAACTCCATTCCCGGGCCACATTCTGAATGCCCGGAGCCAACTGTAGGCCACTTCGTGCTCTTCGATTTCCCAGAACTCCATTCCCGGGCCACATTTTGAATGCCCGGAGCCAACTGTAGGCCACTTCGTGCTCTTCGAGTCCCAGAACTCCATTCCCGGGCCACATTTTGAATGCCCGGAGCCAACTGTAGGCCACTTCGTGCTCTTCGAGTTCCCAGAACTCCATTCCCGGGCCACATTTTGAATGCCCGGAGCCAACTGTAGGCCACTTCGTGCTCTTCGAGTTCCCAGAACTCCATTCCCGGGCCACATTTTGAATGCCCGTAGCCAACTGTAGGCAACTTCGTGCTCTTCGACTTCCCAGAACTCCCATTCCTGGACCACACTTTCAGCAGGGGCAAGAGCACGACGAGGAGGAGGACGAGCAAGACCAGGAGGACGAGGACGAGCAGGAGCAGGACGAGGAGCAGGAGGAGCAGGAGAAGAAGGACGAGCAGGAGGAGGAGGAGGACGAGCAGGAGGAGGAGGACGACCAGGAGGAGGAGGAGGGAGAGGAGGAGGAGGAGGGGAGGAGGAGGGGAGGAGGAGGAGGAGGAGGAGGAGGAGGAGGAGGGAGGAGGAGGAGGAGGAGGAGGAGGATGAAGAGGAGGAGGAGGAGAGAGGAGGAGGAGGAGGAGGGACGAGGAGAGGAGGAGGGGGGGGGAGAGCACCAGGAGGAGGAGAACGAGGACCACCAGGAGGAGGAGGAGGAGGAGGAGGAGGAGGAGGAGGAGGAGGAGGAGGAGGAGGAGGAGAGAACACCAGGAGGAGGAGGACGAGCAAGACGAGGAGGACGAGAACGAGGGCGACCAGGAAGAGGAGGAGGAGGAGGAGGAGGAGGAGGGGGAGGACTACCAGGAGGAGGAGGAGGAGGAGGAGGAGGAGGAGGAGGAGGAGGAGGAGGAGGACGAGGAGGAGGAGGAGGAGGACGAGGAGGAGGAGGGGGGGGAGAGCACCAGGAGGAGGAGAACGAGGACCACCAGGAGGAGGAGGAGGAGGAGGAGGAGGAGGAGGAGGAGGAGGAGGAGAGAGCACCAGGAGGAGGAGGACGAGCAAGACGAGGAGGACGAGAACGAGGACGAGCAGGAGGAAGAGGAGGAGGAGGAGGAGGAGGAGGAGGAGGAGCAGGAGAAAGAGGAGGAGGAGGAGGAGGAGCAGGAGAAAGAGGACGAGCAGGAGGAGCACGAGGACGAGCAGGAGGAGGAGGAGGAGGAGGACGAGCAGGAGGGGAGGGCGGCCGGCTGCCCCGGCCAGGTCCTACACATGGCTGTTAGGTTGCTTTGCCGGGATAATCATTTTGAATACGTTTTAAATCATTTGGGTTTTTGGTTTGAGTATTTTTTATTTCTCGTCCAAAATCCCCCTGTAGGAGGACAGGCCCGATTTAACAGTATGCTGCAAGTGCTGAACGGAGACCCTCCTCAAGGCGAGGCCAGCACGGCGTCGAGGACGGAGACCCTCCCATCGGCGTGGTGTGCAGCCAGACCCCCGCTTTGAAGAAGGGCCGCCACCATCTGTGCAGGTGCTGCGCAGGTTTGCGCTTCTGTCCCCGAGCACCGGGGAAGTCCCAGGCCCGAGAGATGACGACGACGATGACGAGGAGGAGGACGACGACGACGATGACGATGACGATGTATGATTGTTGCGCAGGCTTACGCTTCTGTCCCCGAGCATCGAGGAAGCTCCAAGCCCCGATGATGACAATGACGATGACGATGACGGTGACGACGATGACGATGACGACGATGACGATGACGATGATGATGACGACGATGCTGATGACGGTGACGACCATGACGATGACGACGATGACTATGATGATGACGATGATCACGTTGACGATGTGCAATGGTCGCGCAAGCTTGTGCGTCTGTCCCCGAGCATCGGAGACGTTTCAAGCCCTGGCGATGACGATGACGGTGACGATGACCACGATGATGCCGATGACTATGTACACTTGTTGCGCAAGTTTACGCGTTTGTCCCCGAGCATCGAGGAAGTCTCAAGCCCCGACGATGACGAAGACGATGACGATGACGACGGTGACGGTAACGACGATGACGATGACGATAACGATGACGACGATGACAATCACGATGATCACGATGACGATGACGATGCCGATGACGATGTCCAATAGTCGCGCAAGTTTGCGCTTCTGTCCCCGAGCATCGGAGAAGTGTCAAGCCCTGGCGATGGCGATGACGATGACGATGACGACGACGATGCTGACGATGACCACGACGACGATGCCGATGATCACGATGACGATGACGATGACGATGACCACGATGACGATGACGACGATCACGATGACGATGCCGATGTCACCCGATGTCCAATGGTCGCGCAAGTTTGCGATTCTGTCACCGAGCATCGGGGAAGTCTCAAGCCCCGACGATGACGATGACGATAACAATGACGATGACGGTGACGACGCTGACGATGACGATGACGACGACGACGATGATGATTATGACGATGACGATGAAGATGATCACGATGACGATGACGATGTGTAATTGTCGCGCAAGTTTACGCTTCTGACCCCGAGCGTCGAGGAAGCTTCCAGCCCCGACGATGACGGTGAGGATGACGATGACGATAACGATGACGATGACGGTGACGACGCCGACGATGACGACGATGACGATGACGATGACGACGATGACGACGATGACGATGACGATGACGACGATGACGATGACGATGATCACGATGACGATGACGATTACGATGGCAATGTGTAATTGATGCGCAAGTTTGTCGCTTCTGTCCCCGAGCGTCGAGGAAGTCTCAAGCCCGACGGTGACGATGACGATAGCGATGACGGTGACGACGATGACGGTCACCACGATGACGATGGCGATGACAATGCCGATGACGATGACGACGATGACGATGTCGATGATCACGATGACGATGACGATGCCGATGTGTAATAGTCGCGCAAGTTTGCGCTTCTGTC